GTCATCATCTCCGCGGAGGGGCTGCTGCTGCGGCGCATGGCGGCGTCGGGGTCCCGGATGACGATGGTGTGCAGGGGGCTGGCGGGCTCCGAGCTGGCCGGGCCGGCCGGGTTCCTCAGGGGCTCCAGCGTGTCCAGCACCACGTCCGGCGCCTGCTTGGCCGTGTTCTGCCTCTCGAGCTCCCGCAGCTCGTGCAGGGCCGTGCTCATGGTCTTCTCGATGTCCTGGGGACACAGAGGGCTCTGGTCAGCAGAGGGGCGCCTGAGGCCCAGGCGGCCTCCACGCCTGAGCGGCGCGCACGACCGGAGCTGGCCGGCCGCTGCGGGCAGACCGAAGCGGTCTCCAGTCCTGGTCCTGCCGCTCTCTTGCTCTGTGACCCCAGGCAAGTCACCTCACCTCTCGGAGCCCCGAATCGTCACTGGTCAGTTACAGGAATTATAATACCCCCGGTGGGGGGTTTCCTGTGCCGGCTGGCCCGAGCCATCCAGGAAGGTGCCCCGGGGGGCTCCAGGCCCTTCCACGTCACTGGACAGCACCCAAGGATGCACGAGCCGGCGGGGGGCGGGGGGGTCACGTGCCCGAGGTCACACCGCGAGGCGGCCGGCCGAGCCCCACCCCAGAGTCCGCAGCCCTAATCAGCATCGGTTTTAGATCCTGGCCCGCAGGGAATTCCGGTCACAGAGGGGACGGCGAAGGGACAGTCGGGCAGAGAGCGCACAGCAGCCCGGCCAGGACGCCAGCTAAGGCCCACTGTCTTCTCATCACAGGCAAATGCCAGCTGCAAGCCTGGCGGAGGCTCGAGGGGTCCTGGCGCCCGCTCTGAGCCGCGCCTGACCCCTCTCCCCGCCGGTCAGCAGGCGGCCTCTAAGCCCCGGAGCCCAAGGCAGGTTCCCACCTGGCCACGATCGGGGGCCCGGATCTTGCTGGCCTCTCCCAGCGCATCCTGTCGCCTTTGAGGGACCACGGCTAGTGGGGAGCAGGGGCCCCCCACTGCCAGTGACACTGTTCCCAGGCCCGGGATGCCGGCTACTTCCAGAGGGGCCTTCTGTGCCTTTATCCAAAGGGCAGCTGGTGGGGGTGGACTCTGCGCTGGGCGGTGGCAGCCCCGTCCGGCCACTGCCCTCCACGCCCCTCTACGTAGACGCAGCCCCTCCGGGCCCCCCACCTCTCTGCTGCCCCAGCCCAGCGGGGTGACAGGCCAACGCGCCCAGAGGAAGCCCAGCGGCCTCGCAGCGCCCCCCAGCTCCCCCACCCCCCGAGGAGCAGGTGGTGGAGGCGAGAGCCCCGCGCTAGTGGGAGGTGAGGCTGAGGGCGCCGGCGGGGTCGGGCGGCGAGCACGCTGTCCTCCCCAGGGCAGCGGCCTACTCTGATGCCCAGCGGCCGGGCCCCGCCTCTCGAGCGGTCACGTCCGAAGCCCACGGGACGGCTGAGGCCAGGGCGAGGCGGGGTGGCCCTGGCGCTGGGGCCCCCGCGGTCGGCCTGTGTCCTCCGGGAAGGCGCTCGGAGGGAGGCTGGGGCCAGAGTTCGCGGGGTCCCTCCCTCTGGGGAGCCCGGCCGCGCCGCCTGGCGCCACTTCAGGCGCCACTGTGGCCAGCACAGTGCCCGCCGCCCGCCACACACTCGTCAGCGTCGGCGGAGAGTGACCAGCGGGCAGGTAAACGTGGGAGTCCGGCATCTTGTGGAGACCCGGCCTGACCACAGGCCAAACCTCCCCGCAGAGATCCCACGACAGGCCCCTGTGGCTGCCCCCACCGGCTTCCAGCCCTGGGAGCTGGGGGGACACGGGACAGCCGGCTCCCTGGTGTGACGGACTCTGGGGCTCCCTGCCTGCAGCCCGCCGCCCGAAGCCCCTCTGG